TGATCGCCAAGTCAGCCCACACAGTCCACTCAATAGCATCGCGGCCGTTCTCGCCACTCACTGGAGAGTGGAAGACCGGCGCCCCCCCCCCCCTAACCACCGTCACCCCCCTCACCCCCTCGCCCCTTCGCCCCTCGCCTCACTGCCGGCCAGCACGGCAGTGCGTGCACTCCGCGTGCACTGGATCGGTGGAGGCGGACTGGCGGACAAAACCCCGGACGGGTTTTGAGATCCGAAGTCGCTAAACAGGACTCGAACCGAGCGTGTGACCCCCACTAATGGATCCCTCGATCGGAGAGCAATCCATTAGTGCGGTCACACGTTTGGTTCGAGCCCCTACTAGCGACTCTGGAGCTCGAAACGGGTCTGCGATTTTGACCGCCTCCACCGGTCTTCTGGCCCACTGTGCGGCGCGGAGAAAGCGGCCCGCTCCAACCGCTCCTCGGACGGGTCGGCCCCGAAAGGTCCGACCTAAAACAAAGCCACCCTCCCGGGGGTCAAGAGGGGGTTGGCGACGACAACGGCGTGACTGACGACTTTGCGCTCCGAGCCACTTAACAGCTGTCCTGCCTGGCGTCGTCTGGCGTCGCCTGGCGTCGCTCCCTCCTATCGGCCCGCTCTTCACACCTTCATTTCCGCTCGGCTGCCCTTCCCCGCAGACTCCCGCCGCGGTGGCCGAGTCGGCGGGGCTTCCGGGCGGCGGGGCCGCGGGCGGGTGGTATCACACGAGCGCCATCTCGAAATAAATAATTGAATGAGGCTGACTGCCCCCCCAGGCTGCCGGGCTGCCTGGGGGCCTTCGCTTTCCCATTACCGACTCGATTGTGTCTTCGGCCGCACTGCCGCCACTCCGCGCACTCGGGTGGCTCGGCCCGGCGCAGCGAACGACCGCCACCGCCATCGCCCCGCGCCGGCCGGGCCATCCAGGCCATCAGGGCCAACCCGGCCATCCACACCGGGGCCCGGAGGCCCGACGCCCCGACGGCCCGGCATCTCGAACGTTGACTTAGTAACGTAATAGGGGCTCCATTGCCGATTGCCCCGGGCCGCGCCGCGCCGTCCCCGCGCCGTCCCCGCGGCCCGAGACGGAGGCGGAGGCGCGGGGCGACGCGGGGCGCTGCCTCAGCACTTGCCGCCGATTGGAGTGTTCCGTCGAGACGCGACAGTGCGACAGAAAGAGAGGGAGAGAGAGGCGCCATTCGGCAGCACGAAGCCTCGCGATGCACTGGCCTCAGGCTGAAACTTAGTACTCTGCCGGCAGGCTGATTCCCATTTTCGAAGAGTGGTTTCGTTTCTGGCTCTGTCGCACTCGCGGGGCGAGACGATCTTGCCTCGAGCCCCTCCGCGATCTCACCGTCGCGTCGTCGCCGAGCCTCCGTGGCCCCGTGAGTGCGGACACTGTGTTTGCCGTCCGTCTCCGTCGGAGACTCGTCTTTCCCTCTCTCCCTCTCTCTCTCTCCCTCTCTCTCCGCTCACTCTCTCCTTTCCCCTGCGCCTCGCCGCGTACTTATACATGCGGCCAAGGAGAGAGCCATTGTGCATTCCGAGTGAGGAAAAAGCGGGACGAGGTCAAAAACGAGGCCGCCGGACCAAGAGCCGAAGTAATGCAATTTGGGAGGGCTGGGTCAGGGTGTCCCGCTGTCTTCGGGCTGCCTTTTCGGGCTGCCTTCGGGCTGCCTTCGGGCTGCCTTCGGGCTGCCTTCGGGCTGCCTTCGGGCTGCCTTTTCGGGCTGCCTTCGGGCTGCCTTCGGGCTGCCTTCGGGCTGCCTTCGGGCTGCCTTCGGGCTGCCTTCGGGCTGCCTTCGGGCTGCCTTCGGGCTGCCTTCGGGCTGCCTTCGGGCTGCCTTCGGGCTGCCTTCGGGCTGCCTTCGGGCTGCCTTCGGCTGCCTTCGGGCTGCCTTGGGCTGCCGATGGGAAACCGGGACTAGGCAAAAACGGGCCCTCCCCGGGCCCTTGGGGCCCTGCCTTCGGGTGCCTTCGGGGCCGGGCTGGGTCCTTGTGCGCTGCCTTCGGGGCCTGTTGGCTGCTTCGGGCTGCCTTCGGGCTGCCTTCGGGCTGCCTTCGGGCTGCCTTCGGGCTGCCTTCGGGCTGCCTTCGGGCTGCCTTCGGGCTGCCTTCGGGCTGCCTTCGGGCTGCCTTCGGGCCACCAGACCAGTGCATTGTCATTCTGTCTCTCTCGCACTCCCACGGGACACGGGGAGCTGCCTGGTGGGTGATAACAGATAGAGCGACGAAAGCCCTGTTCGAGGAACGAGGAATCAGCCGGAGGCTCCAAGGGTTTCGGTAGAACTGGGGTATTCAGTCCGAAATACCTTTGCGAGTGGCGCCCCGCCCGCCCCGCCCCACTCCAGCGGATGCTCCGAAGCCCTCCGGGCCGCTGCCGTTGTTCCCGGGACCGGGGCACTCTGGGGCGGTCTGGCCTGCCTGGCCCCAGCCCTGCCCCGCAGCCCCAGCAGGCCGACGCGCGCGGACTAGCGGCAGCGGGCTGGGATGGGATGTTCCCCCGCGTGTCGGTGTGTTGGAGGCAGTTCGAGGCGCGCGGCGCGTAGCGCGTGGCCTGGCTGGTGGGGCGGGGCGGGCTACCGGCTCCAACAACGGCACACTGTACACGCCACTCCGGCAGCGCTGGCTGTGCTGGCTGTGCCGGCAGCAGCGCTATTGTGGCAATCGTCCCACATGCAACATTCAGGCCTCCAGGCAAGCCTCCAGCATGCTTCCAGGCCAGGCAGCGCACGGCAGCGCGGTGCTCCGCCCAAATAACTGCAAATAAAGCATTACAAAAACATAACCCTGCTCCTTGCGAGGCCGCGTCTCGCCGCGTCTTGCCGCGGCCCCGCGGCTCACCTGGGGAACCTGGGCCGGGCGGACGGACGGACAGGCAGACAGACGGACGGCGCGCAGCATCGCGTGCGGCCGTAGTGTCTGGCACTAGCCAGCGGCCTGGCTGCCCGGCCTGGCTGCCCGGCCTGGCATAAATCAGTCGGCGCTGTCCGCGACTCCCCCGGCCAGCGCGGCCAGCCCGCCCGCCGCCCCCTTTGTCCGCCGCTCCGCCCCTCGCCTTCCCCGGTTCGAAAGTCCCGCCGTGGCGTGCCGGTGGCGTGCCGGTGGCGTGCCGGTGGCGTGCCCCTGCTGACTGGTTCCGAGAGTCGTTTTCATCACTCGGTCTCTCTCGCGCTCACCGGGCGTACCGTGACGGTGCGAGAGAGACAGAGCGACGATAACGACTCCGTGCCGCGCCGTAAACAAAGACGCGACCGGCGCACTCGGCGCCCTGTCTCCCTCCCACTCGCGGGGCCCACTCGCGGGGCCGGTGGGAGAGAGACAGGGCGCCGGGAGGTAGATCATGCCGGGGCGTGGCGTGGCGCTACGATGGATGAACCCGATGAACCGAACAGCGAGATCAACTTCGTCATGTCGTTGGAGAAGAAGCGGCGAGAGGAGACAACGTGACGGACGAGGAGGGCGTTATTTCGTCGGGCTGCGCGCCCCGCCCCGCCCCGCGCCGCCCCACCCCGCGCCGCCCCGCCTCGGGCGAAAGGCAATGATGATGCGAAACTACAAGCGGATTCGCGGGCGCCTCCCGCTCCTCCTCTCTTTTGTGTCGACTGTCTCCGCGGCGCCCGGGGCGTTTGTCTTTTTCGCAGCCCCCCCCCCCCCCCACCTTTTCGCTGCTGACAGTGTAGGTGGGCGTCAAGGCCCCATTAACAGACTCGCTAGACGACATAATTTTGCCAACGGGGCGCTGGCCGCCTGCCCTTGGTTTGTGCGGCATTTACCTTTTTCCTGGCGTGTTTTTTTTCCGTGCCGTAGCCCCCTGTAGCGACCCGGCCGTGCCTGTGGACGGAACGGGCTTCTAGGTAAAAGACTTTCGATTTCTGCTTCATTTGGAGCGCTGACATTTTTCTCTAAGCGTTAGTGTGTGTGTGTTTTTTTTTAAATTATCATTGTTTTGATTTGTTTGAGGTGTCGCCCTATTAGTGCATCCCTGAGAAAACTGCTAGTGCCCTTCGTGGTTCTCACACTCTCATCCCTCACATATAACTCAGGGTCAGCTCTGGAGCACGACGACAACAGTGTCACGTGTGTCTGAGGAAGCCAGCGATGACTGAATCCGGGGTCAAACAAACAACTGTGCCAGGCCTTGAGGGGGAGTGCGGAGCCCTCTCCCCCGGATTCTGCCAAGCACTGCGGCCGCACTGTTAAGTGCGGAGTGACAGCGCGACGCGCGGGCAGCCACACGAACCAGGCCTTCAGCCGAATTTAACACCGTTTGTCCTGAGGCCCTGCCAGCCATGCTGAAGCACCGCGCTGTCGCCGCCAAAACAGTCCTCGGCACAAAAGTTACACCTGTCAGCGCGGAGCTCTCCAGCACTTTGTTCGCACCGCCTTGTTTGAGGGACCATTAATAATGGAGGGGTGCGGCTGGAGGGTCGCGCCAGACAACAATTAAATCGCTGTATTGAAGAGCTGCCCTGGCCCTCCAAGGTGCCAAGGTGTAGTGGCGCGACAATGCCTTGCCTGGCCGAGCCTGGCCCGCCCCGGGGCTTTGTGGGCTTTGGGCAGCTTTGGGGCGGCAGCGACCGACCGACCACCGACCGACCGCGGCCTCGGACGCACACAATCGACGCATTGTGCGAAAGCACGCCGAGTTGCAACGCCCGTGCACGCCGGACAATTAGAATTGTCATTTTATTAATTCTGATTTGGTTTCGGTTCTGTGCGTCATTGGAAAGGGGGGGGGGGAGTTTTTGTTGTTGGTCTGCGCTACGTTCGCCGGACTCCCATGCCGAGTTTAGGACAGAGCGCACAACTCTGCAAAGGAAACTTTGTATATTTGGACTTTTAGTTAATTTTTGGTGCAAGATTTGTACGAATCGTCGCAGCAGAGTAGTTGCCTCACACCTTCTGCCTTGGAGTGACGGAGTGTCTCGTGCTGTGAGTCGCCCTCCACTTGAGGAAGGTCCAATGGAGGAAAGCGGGCAAGAAATGGGACGACGGTGAAACTGTTTTATAAACGTACTCTATTATTTAACCAACAATCACACTATTGAATTCTTCTTCACTTTGTTGTTTACCACCGTAAAAAAAATGTTCTACAGCAAAGCACAGAAAAACAAGTAAATCGAAAGCCTATCACAAACATGTCAGGGTTTAGGTTCTCTCAGCTTCCCGAGCGCCTACGAAGCAACGTAATCGCTAATCCCCAAAGTACCACGCTAAGACACACAAACTAGGGTTCTATTGGAATACTTAAGTTCAAGACAATAGCCAGCTTCTCGAAGCACGAGCCTCAAAGAAAACGTGCCGGGACAAAACTTAGCCCTCCACAAGTTTTTTTATAAGTTTTGGAGGACGGAAGACCTGAAATTTTTGACAGAACAGTTCGTAGCAACGAGCACAATTCATGCAACGCAAGAGAGGAATGGGAAAAACAGCGCAGATGCGATATGTGGGCTAGAGATTGGATACTCTCGGGAAGACGGTGGTCAGAGAGGACAGCAGTGGCCCTTGAGTCCTCGCGGAACTTGCCGCGGCATCCCGCATCCGAGAGGAGCAGAGAGTCCCCTAGTCGGCTAACCCGAAGGCTTCAGACAGGGGGTGGCCGTGGGAACGACCGGCAAAAAGTACGAAAAGAAGATCAGTCAGAAGAGGGCGGTGGAGTCAGGGCATGTCACCGCTGTTGCGGCCCTGCGATCGGTTGTCTTCGCTCCACGGATTGGCTGCCAAGGAAGACAACGAGTTAGGAAGGGCGAGTCAAGGGGACTGGAATCAAGCACTTGCGATGACCTTACCTCTGTAGTAGTGGTCTTTGTACATCTTAGGGCAATTTTTCCCCTGGAAAAAAGAAAATTTCGCTGAAACCCACTTTTGGAAAGAAAAACCGTGGTGTGCTAGAATGCGGCCTGGCCTACCTGCTCGCGGAAGAAGTCGATGTTGGTCCGCACGGTGCGGTGGTGCAGCGGCTGCAGCGGCCGGGCGTTGTTGCCGAGGGGGGCCTTGGGGGTCTCGGGGGAGCCCTGCATCAGCTTGCGCAGCGCATACAGCTGGGGAAGAAGCCAATCAGAACCGTAATTTTGTTTTGTTCCACAATTTTTTCCGCGTTATTGCCGCACCCCTCACCTCCTGCCTCGTGATGTAGATGGGCTTGTTGAGGATGATCCACACGGTGGTCTCCCAGCAGCCCGGGTGCGTGGTGCTGCCCTCGTAGGTCATGTAGTGGTTGGTGTCGGGCAGCAGCGCGCGCACCGACAGGTGGCGGAACGGCGCGGACTGGCCGCGGTAGGCCACCTGGCCGAACGAGCTGGTCAGCACGTGGAGCTCCGGGTTGGGCTTGTCCCTGATCTGCAGCAGAACACACTCAACTTGTTGCCGAAAGAAATGTTCCTTCGGAAATTCCGGAACTTTTTCTTTTCTGTGTTGCCCAAAAATCGAGTGCAAATTTGACCTGTCTGCCTGCAACACGAGGTCACTGACAATGCAGTGATGGAATGGACGCCCAAAGACCTCCGGAATGTCCCGTTAAGCGACGCTGCAACGGCACGAAGGCTGCCACACCCTCCTCAAAGACAACTCGCATGCGCTTCGCGAGTCCAGGAATGTTACGTTCGTTGGGCATTCGTTGGAAATTGAATCGCATTCGTTTTGGCCGTTTTGGCCCGGCCTTCAGACGCGAGACAGCAGGCAAGGAGAGAAAACGAGAAAAGGACTCTACAGGAAAAAGAAAGAAAATATAATAAACTCAAGAAAAGTGTTATAATTAGCCGGAGAGAAATTAAGAGACCTCATTTGCGAACAAAGAGAGTAAACAAATTTGAAGACATCACTGGGGCGGGGCCGCGGGGGCGGGGGGCCGACGGGCCTGTGCAGTAAATGGGGCACCTCCCGGCGAATAAATAATAACCGAAGTAAACGTTTTTCATTCGCAAAAACAAACAAAATGGATGCAAAGCGCTGCGGAATAAATCACGCAGCCGACCCGACCTCTGGTGCGGAGTAATTAGGGGGAAATCAAACGGAAGTGTTTTCCACACCGCCTCTCTCTCTCTCTCTCTCTCTCTCTCTCTCTCTCTCTCTCTTCTCTCTCTCTCTCTCTCTTCTCCTCTCCCTCTCCACACGTAGTGCTGTCTCTCTCGGGCACACACAGTGCTCCCACGCCGGCTCGCGCGCGAATCCTACGAAGCGCGCTTGTAACGTGCGCAAATTTCATTCATGGCAGAACGCTAATTAAATCGCGCTGGAGAGAGAAAGAGAGGAAGAGAGTGAAGAGAGAGAGAGAGAGAGAGAGAGAGAGAGAGAGAGAGAGAGAGAGAGAGAGAGAGAGAGAGAGAGAGAGAGAGAGAGAGAGAGAGAGAGAGAGAGAGACAAACTGGGGGGGGAAGGGGGAGGCGGAGGAGGTCGCGTCAAGACGGCCTCAGCCCCTGTAGTCAGCAGGGTAGGCAACCCGAAGCACTCGCGTGCCCACGCCTGGCGTAGCCGGAGAGTGCCGGGCGCTCGGCTGGCGCTGGGCTGGCGCTGGGCCGGCCCGGCTGGCCGATGGCTCAGGGGAGCGCGCAGCGGCGCAGCTTGACTTGCGATCTTTTATACTGTCACGGAGGGCACGGAGGGCTCGGCTGGCGTGAGTACACACGGGCAGTAAAGCTGCCGGCGGCACGCGCGCTCGCACGCGGGGGGCACGCCGCGCAGACACGCAAGCTGCGGCGATTCGAGCCGCTGCCAAGTCTGACCGGACAAATAGGGGATGGTACGGCAGGGAAAAGAAAAAAAACGCTCCGAAGAGCAAACCCACCGCAAGTGAGAGACTTTAGGAAACAAATACTGGTCGTTCCCTCTGGTTCGGAATCACTTTTACGAAGCGTGTGCATGGCTGCCTGGGCCTCCCCTGCCAATGATTCTGCCTCAGCAGATTTCTGCTCTCTCTCTCTCCCCCCCCCCCCTCTAAATCGGTGCCACCTCAGTCCTCTCCAGCCAGTCTCCGGCCGTGGCTGGAGCGACGCTATGAATATTCAGGAGGATACAAATATTTAGCGCATTACCCCGATGACTTGATCTGTGGCGGGGAGGGGAGCGGCGAGGCCAGGCCGGGCCAGGCCGTCTGCGCCGAGCCGCTTGTTTATTGTCAAGTTATTGTCGGAGTTGCCTTAATTGACGTCCCCGCATTCCACCGCGTCCCGCCGCCAGCAGCTCACCCCCACCCCTTTCCCCGCCACGCACATAAGTGCCGACACGACGAAAAATAATGTGAAAAAGTTTTTTTTTAAACGACACTTTTTTGGCCAGCGCACGAAAAAAACAACAAATTAATTGTCAGAGGACCCAAAGAACATTTTAGTTGACATCCAAAAATTATTTCTCGTAAGAAAAACGCTTAAGTTTCCACAACTAAACGATTGGTTAAACCAACTAGCTTTTAGTAGTATCAACAAATCTGTTCCTTAGGTTGGGGCCGCTAGGAGCTGATTAGGTTAGGTTCTTTCTGTCCATGACCGCGCTTTCGCTTGGAGCCAGCTCGTCGGACCACTGACCTGCAGCATGAGGGAGATGGCCACGATGCCCTGCGACTTGTGCTGCGCCTCCGACATGTTGTGGTACAGCTCGGCGTTAAAGCCGTACAGCTGGATCTGCAACAGACAGCGGTAGACTCTTGTTAGCTTTGGCAAAATGTCAGAAACCTATCTGAAAACTTCTCTAAACGTTCACGCACTTCTGAAAGCTCTGAAAACTTATTCTGACATTCTAAGGAACTCAGGCCATCAATATCAGAATAAATGTTCGGAATCCCAGCGTCCAGAGGTGTGCGAATTTTGATCAGGATTTCCAGGCATGTTTCTGACTTCCTGACAAGAACTCGACTGATTCACGAGTTGTGCCGCGGTGTGGCTCGGCCTGTGTGTCGACCTGGAGGTGTGACGCTCTCGGAACTGGGTCAGGCCACAACCAGATCCCCTCATCAAGCATTAAGCGTATTCGACAGCAGCGCAGTAGGTGGACACCGAGGAAAGTGGCATTGCTAGCATACACTGGGTTGTCCAGTGAGAATGAAAGAGTCATGGTCAGGACTGAAATCGATAACTAACGAAGCTGAGTTGCTGCAGCGGCCCGCTCGAGAACGACTCAGCTGCTGCTATCAAAGTCTTTCTCGGACGGGCCGCTGCAACTGGATCTTCCTTTCTATGTCACGTAAATTTGGGCGATAGGTGGCCGATGCACCTGTCATCGCTCAAATTTGGGCGAGGAAACCTTTCTCACCCGACTTGAGGAGAAAAAATCTCATTCAACGAACGTTAATGAAAGCAGATGATACTCGTTTGGTTTTCTTCTACGGGGTAGTATGGGCTCATTCCAAAGATATTATTTAAAAACTGAGCCCTTTGTGCCTTGGCCTGCACCGCCGCGGCGTGTCCGTTGGATTGCGAGCACCCGGTGCCCCTGGGCTGTAGCAGGGAGGGATTGTCAATGTTGCTCGCAGGCCGTCGCGCGCGAGGGGGGTGCCATTGTCGCGAATTCCGCGCAGGCTGCGCCGCAGCCAGCCACAGACAGCCGCACCATCCCGCCCCGGCAGCCAGCCCCTATTATATTGTTAGGATATGTACTTGGTTTTTGGACTCTCGAGTAAAAGCTAGCTGACACCTTTATGTATCTTGTAGTTGTAGTTTCAGGTATGTTTTTAAGTAAAGGTATCATCTGCTAAAAATAAATGATTCACACGACGCAAAATTTGGTATTGATCAAGGGTTTTAGTTCTCAGTGCCCGGTGCGCATGCCAGGTGGCCCGTGGCCCTCAAACACCGACGACTGTTACCTCTGCGGGGAACTGGTAGCCGTTGACGCGGTGCTCGGAGCCTTGGCCGTCGGTGTTGCCGTAGTGGATGTAGCCCTCCTGCAGCTGGTAGCGGTAGTCCAGCGGCCCGCCCGAGATGTTGACGTGGTGCTTGGAGTCCTGGTTGACGCGCAGCACTAGCGACTGGCCCGTGTTGTGCAGCGAGCCGCTTATCTGGAAGGTGGGTTCAGTTGTGTTTCTCTCCTCGGACGACAGAGGCTCCTTCGACAAGCTTTCCACCCACCATGTGCTTGTCGACGTGCAGCGGCCGCAGCCGCGGGTCGAACAGCAGCTTCTCGGCCTCGATGTTGACGGGCGACTGGCGGCGGCCCTTGCTGCAGAGGCCCCACTGGGGGTTGATGAGCCCCCAGAAGCTGGGCCCTGCAACGAGCGGAGCGTGAATGGCAAATCAGTGGCGATCATCTGGGCTCTGCAGTCGACAGTAGCTCCCAATCAAATGTGGCAAGGCGTTCTTTTTGAAGAAGCCTCCCAGGCTGCCACCCTCTCCCTGAAGTGCAGGGGCCTCTACGCCGCGCCACGCACAGTGAGCGAGAGGACCGGCAGAGGCGGCAAAAATTCTAGACGCGGTTTGCGATCCAGTTGCCAAGCAGGACTCGGACCAAACGTGTGACCCCACCAATGGACTGCTCGTTTAGAGAGCAATCCACCGGTGGGGAAACACGTTTGGTTTAAGTCCGATTTGGCGACTCTCGAGCTCAAAACGCGTCTAGAATTCTTGCCGCCTCCACCGGTCTTCTGGCCCACTGTGCCACGCGGCGCCGCGCTCGTGCACCCCGTCACGGCGAGTCAGCCAGGCAGTGAGTCAGGACTCGCGCCGTCGACTCCTGCGGGAATCGAGTCCCCTGCAAGGGCCGGGAAGGGCGGAGGGTCCCGCTGGAAGGGTTGTTTACCTCCGGCCCTCTCCAATCAGACATGCTTTCAATAAAACGAAACACACCCACGGATCTTTGACTTCACCGGCCCAGCCTAATGCCTTCTTCTTTGCAGTCTCTCGAGCTTTTTCTCTTTTTTTTCTCTACTCCAGCGCGGCACCCAACAGATAGTGGGTTTTTAATAAGTACACCACGTCAAACTATTTTGATTTTGGATTCGAAGCAACCAACGCTCACCAGAGCGAAAACATTCGTTGTCAACAAATGACACATTCTGATTTACTTCCTCCATGCTTACTCTCAACGTTCTGCTCTTCCAAGTAAATGAACCAGAATATCCCTCCAAAAAGGTGTACATCATCACGCAACAACCCAGGTAAAAATGAGTTTTATAAAGTCAGACGGGAGTTTTTATACACATTTATAAAACCATATCAAAAGGCTTATAAAAACTTATAAGTATATATATACGTTCATACATATGATTTTATGAACTTTTATAAGGAAATATAATGTTTTATAGGGATGGCCTTATATAGTTATATAAAACTGTTTATATGTGTCCATATATATCTCTATAAGGAGAAGCTCTTTAGCTATGATTATATGGGAATCCATTATGTTTTATACGGCCATATACATCCTTCTGCATAAAACTTTATATAACTGCACACATATCCCTTTATAAAACTTCCGTGTGATTGTATAAATCTTTATTCATATGACATTATTAAAATTTATAAAATTGGATAAAAAATCCTTATAAAATCATAAAAAACCTTATAATGGCCTTTATAAAGCCCATTTTTACCTGGGAAGGATGTTGTCAAGGTGGGAAGATCCCTCTGTTGCGCGTTGATTTCCTTCTATGTTGCCAACTTTCCGCAGGAAATTCAGGCATTCCGGAACCACGAGACTCATGCCGGAACGCGAACACGCGAAAGGGGAAAGAGCCGTCGCCGCTCCGCGAAGGACGAGCGAGGGGCGGGCAGGGACAAAGGACACTGCCCAGGCGCTCGCCCAGGCGCTGCCCCCACTCATGCCTTATTCCCTTCTTCCTCGAGACGCAAGCGCAAGCGTCTGTGCGGACTTGAAGGAAATCAGAAACATCAAGGTGAATCCAGGAGAGGACCTAGGGATTGCCAGGGAAGGCCGGAGACGGCCAGGCACACAGAGCGAGGCACGCGGTGCGCCGGCCGCGACAGCCATGGCCACGCGCCGCCACTCAAGCGGGAATGTAACCATGTGTAGCCTTACCTGAGATGCCATCGTAGGTCCACCACTCCTCCCAGCTCGTGAGGCTCTCTGCAACAGAAATCAGACGTGTTGAGTCCAGCGGTAGAGCAGCCAAGGTTTGTTAGTGTACCCTTGGTTCAGCAGCGTGCCCATGGTTCGTCACCTGCCAATGGTTCGTCAGCGTGTCCATGGTTCGTCACCTGCCAATGGTTCGTCAGCGTGTCCATGGTTCGTCACCTGCCAATGGTTCGTCAGCGTGTCCATGGTTCGTCACCTGCCCATGGTTCGTCAGCCTGCCCATGGTTCGTCAGCCAGCCCATAGTTCGCCGGCATGCCCATGGTTCGTCGGCGTGCCCATGGTTCGCCAGTGCAGCACGGCAGCACCATGGCGTGGCGCATATTTCCCCGCCCACTTCTAATTGGCGCGAAACTTTGGCGGCCACGTCGGCGCGACGTCAGGTCGACGCGGGGGCTTTCATCAACACCAATTGGAGTGCAAATGCCCGGCCGAGACCCGCAAAGAGATAAGACGAAACGACTCTGCGGGGCGCGGCCGCGGGGCTGCCCCTGCCCCTGCGCGACGGCCGCCGCGCCCCGCCCACGGCCCCACGGACGCGTGTCTTGGCGACATCAGAGGCAGGACGAGGAGGGCGCAGAAAACGAGGAAGGAAGGCAGTGGAGGCGAGGGGGAGGTTTAAGCAAAGCGAAGCAAAGCAAGGAAGGGCGCCTGTCATTACAACTTCATCATTCACACGGGGCGCGGGGTCAAGGAGGTGCCCAAAGTGACAGTGGGGTGCGTGGCGTGCCGACCCCGCCGACCCCGCCGCCACCACGGCCACCACCGCGACCTCCGCCTCCAGGCACGCCCAAATGGCGTAATGACGTTATGGATGGCTTCGGGCACGGCTTGGCCTCGGCCGGCCCGGGTGCACGCGGCCATGCGTCCGACCTCGTGGACGCCGCGCAGTGGGCCAGAAGGCCGACGTCGGCGGCCAAAACTCCAGACGCGTTTCGAGCTTTAGAGTCGCTAAATGAAACTCGAATCGAACGTGCTCTTTCGAGTCTCATTCAGCGATTTTAGAGCTCAAAACGCGTCGAGAGTTTTGACCCCGACGCTGGTCTTTTGGCCTTACGCAGCTTGGAAAGTAGCAAGACAAGCCAGCACAAAAATTACGCGGCCATTTTTTTTTTAATTTTTTTTTTTTGCTTTCTTTCCACAAGGAAATATGAAAACAACTTTAAGACTCAAACGTAATGAAAAGGTTACAAACAAAGTGCAACGAGAGTTACTCTCCGTCGGCCGGCAATGCTTTTAGTTCACGATACTTATTTTGCTTCACGTTGTTACTTTTAAAACCCCATTCTCATTCGGGGGACTGGATAGAGTTCCCTCACCACCGACGCGCGGCTGTCCCCCAGCGTGGCTACAACGAACCCGCTTCCCCCGACGCACCGCGCGCGCCACTCATGCAAAGAGGCGAACGAGGCCGTTGCTCCAGGCGACGTGTGGGAAAGTGACACGAGGAGGCGGCCCGGCGGGCCGTGCCGTGCCGTGCCGCGCCGTGCCGCGTGGGGCTCCAGGGTGTCGGGGGGATCAGGCCCAGCCCCGGCCTGGGGGTAATTAATCCGCAAGACGTTGATGAACCCCGAGTTATTATTCCGCCGCACTAATGCCCCCCCCCAAGCCACACGAGCTGCATCCCCCTCCCCCCCCCCCAGACAAGGCTGGCCGTTTTCCAAAAATCCCTCAAATTCCTTTTGGAGTGAAAAAGTTTGTCTGCGAAAGCAATTGTGAGACTAGGCGGGACTAGGCGTGCCGGCAGCTAGGGTGTCCGCATGGCGGTCCGGCGGCGGGGAGTGGATTCCCCGAGGCCAGTGCTTCGGCCCTCGGCGTGCCTTCGGCGTGCCCTCGGCCACTGACGAGGGGAGCCGCACGCCGTCTGTGAAGCTGTGAGTCTCTGAGGCGACTTTTGTTGTTTTCGCAAGAAATTAGCAAGTCGCAAACAATCTGCGGGCCGGCTGGGCAGGGCGGGGTGGGGCGGGATGGCTGCGAGGGGTAAGCGGGGCGGGGCTCTCGCGGTGGAGAGACAAACGGCCTGGACAATGCGCTTAGCGACTCCCTCGTCGCCTAGCTCGCGGTGCCCGCGGCGCCGCGGACTAGTTTCTCCGCAAGACTTTGAATATCTGCTTACAGCCCCCTCCCCCTCGCCAAAGCCGCGCTGCTGCCCGCATGTTAGTGCGGGAGGGGGGAGCAGGTGGCCCGAGAAGTTATTTACTCGCGGGGTCACTCCGGACTGTGGCGCAGGCTCCGCAGGCTCCGCAGGCCGCCGCCAGGCACGTGAGGAGACTGCCAAGGGGCGTGGAGGGCGAGCCGGCACTGCCCTGCCGCGGACCTCGCCCCAGCCCAGTCGTACTTTTAATGCGAATTCACGAGCCTCGGTACTGCCTACCTGGGATGAAGGCCAGCAGCGCGACGACGGCGACGAGCGGCAGCCTCATCCTGGCGGCGACGAGCGGCGGACCTGCAGAGCAAAACAGGGGCTTAGACGCAAACACTGGTGTGGTGAAGGGGCAAGTCTTTTCCTCGTGCATCGGATTGGGATCCATCCACAGCTTGCGGCTGTATACCCATGTCCTTTATCATCGAATACAGTTTGTCTGAAAACTTTCCGGTAACGCGACTCAGCATCTGTTTCTCGACGGGCATTTACAGCGAAATCTACATGTTTCGTGAAAAAATTCCTCGCCATGTTGGTGCAGCGTATCGGTGCATGTTTGTAGTTTGGTTTGGAAAATTCGGAAAATGTACGGAAGGGTCCGGAAAAATAAGAACGCACCTCGGCACTGGTCCTTTGGTAGTCCCCGTGAGGATTGCGTGTAAACGAGTAAACTGCTCGGAAAACACGTTTTGAAACCTCCGGGGCGGGCAAGGCGCGGACGGTCCAGGTAAATCATAAAGCCAGACATGTTCCGATCCTTTCTTCTCCTCTCTGTTCCCCGTCTCCCGCGCGATTTGGGATTATCATGCTCGGACTTTTCCCTTGCGCTTCGCTGCCGCGCTGCCACTCCCCGACAAAGGCCCTCCTCCTCCCTCCCCCCTCTCTTCTCTCTCCCCCTCTATCCCTCGAGCACGTCGGCGACGATCCCGCGTCCCGCCATAAAAAGAGCCGTGATTTTACGGCAGAGTGATATTTCTGAACAAGTGCCCCGCTGTGCGTCGCTGTGCAGTTTCGTGTATTGGCTGTATGGCGCCGCTGCGCCGCCCGGCCGCCCCGCCGCGGCGCGCCGCCGTAAAGGCGCCTTGTTTTCGCGATTGATTGCGTGCCGAGGAAGGACTTTCAGTCGGTCGCAGGGGCGGCGGGTCGCCACTTTGCTCATTGCACACATCATTCGTGTATTTTAGCAACTCGATACGGAACCTCAAAAGACCGCCGATAAGTTTTGATATTTCTCCTCCTCTCCTGGACTACATTTTAAATGCTACACGCCCAAAATTTTAACGAGCATAAAGAAAGTTTAGGTACCCACTTCTGTTAAAAAAACACCCTTTGGTGACTCAATTCTAAAACATGTTTCAGATGTGCCTCTAGTTAATTTCCTCCCCGTTCGTTAGGGAACGCAATCTGAATGCAATGCCACCTGCTTGCCTTGAGGGAGATGGTGTACGTTCCCGTCCGGGCTTTCCGCTGTCGAAGTCCGTCAGTACCCACACGCGTTGTGAACAGAACCCACAAAACTAGTAACAACTATGTTGGAAAATTTCGTGCCAGTGCCAAGGGTTTCAGTACTTTCAGTATCTTAAAACAAGACTGGATGCTCTGGCGTTGCTGATCATGCCAAACCCACAAGCAGCACCGACAATAATAGTTTTTAATCAAATTACTGTCACCCAGCGGCCGACGCGTGAAAACAATAAAGCTACTATGGCAATTTTCAGAGAAATTACACAGAAAATAGCACACTCAACTTTGTTTCTTTAACCAAACGTTGACGTCAACGTGGAAGCACACAGGTCTTCCTTTTTTTAATTAACTGTAAACTGCAACTACCCTGCCCCCCTATTTTCCACGCCCTTTTTCCCTCCCGTTAATTGTTTACTAAGCAATGACCAAAAATTAATTATTTAAAAAAAAAATTAATAAAAATTTAATTTAAAAAAAAATCTAGTTGAAAATTTCAAAATTCAAATCCTTAACGACACGCTGCTTGTGGATTTTGCTTATAAATGGCAGTGCGCCGCCACCAAGGACTACGTCCTGCGGAGCGTTGTGCCTAGAATGCACGCAAACATGGTGCATCGGTCCGGGCAGCCGAGAGCGGTGGCGGTCCCGCGAGCGGCGGTCCCGCTGACAGGATTCGTTTGGCGCCATTTTCATTGTTGACGGAGGAATGCTGGCCGAGGGACCGCTGGAGGCTGCCCGGACCGATGCACCATCACGGCAAAAGTACCGCCTGGGATTCCCAGGCGCATCATGGGGAAAAGGGCCTATTTTCCAGGCACCGCCTGGGAATCCCAGGCGGTACTTTTGCCGTGCATGTTTGCACTGCTCGCCGCCTCCTGCGAGGGCAGATGACGGCCGATACACGCACGCATCTTCTGGCCCAAAAGTGAATTCGGTGAAGAGGAGGTCGGGAACTCGGGGCCGACACGCGACATTCACGTCGGTGGACACTCTGGCGACACCCACCGCTGCGGCGCGCTGTCTCCGCGCTGTTTCTGCGCTGGCTCCTACAGCATGCCGGTGCGCGTGCTGCGCTGCGCGGCGCAGCGCGTCCGCTGCCGGCGAGCTCTCTCTCGTACTGGGCGGCGGCGCGCGGCGGGGCGACGGGGTGGTGCTCGCAGTGGCTCGCGGGCCGCCGGTTCCGCGGAGACTGGCGCCGCGACGCGACGCCGGCAGCAGCCAGGCCCCGTGGCGCCGCCCCCGCCCCCCACCACGCCAAACCAGGGGCACGCCGGGCCCCGCCGGAGGCAGCCACTGGCCCCCCCGAGCAAGCGGGGGAGTGGCCTGCGCTCCCTGCACCCTATCGCCGTTCGGGACCGGCGCCGCCACGGCCAGCCTGGGCCAGCGTGGGCCGTCGCGGGTACCCTGCGTGCTGTCGCACTGCCGTCACAGTGCCGTTGCAGAGCTGGCCGTCGCCTCGCGGACCTCAAGGCCCCGAGGGTAGCTGCTCCTTTTCGGGTTCAGTGCTACCGGCACCCTGCCGGGCACCTCGCTCCGCACTCTGCGGCCCTCTCCGCGAGTGCGAGGGGCGCGGGGCCACGGAAGCACTGTCGGGAACGCTGAGCCACTCCAGCGCCTAATGACGGCCTCGAAGCCGATCGCCACCTGCCATCCATCATGCAGTGCGGTGGCGGCCCGGGCCGGGCCGGGCCGGGTTTAGGCGCTGCCAGGAAATGAAAGGCGTTGTCCTTGGACGCCCCCTTCCCTCCCCGATGTGGGACTTCCTGGCAGGCGGACGGCCAGACGGTCTCTGGCGGTCGTTCTTTGCGGAGGAAGGAGACGCCACGCAAATCCGCCTCATTTTCGAGGACAAAAAGTGGCGAGGTAAAATGAATGGGTGTCCCTGGCGGTCCTGGCGGTCCAGGAAGTGTTCAGCGTCTTGTTGTCGATGCCATCTCGGTACCGGCGGGTAGAAGAACGGGGGCGTCGCCCTCTCATAGACACGCCGAGGTCGTTCGGCGTGCTTCAGAATTTAAGGTGCCACTGTGACTGAGGAATTCGAAAAACTTGTGGAATTTGATTTTGAGCGAAAATCCTTTGGTTTCCTCTCAATCTATATGACGCAAGCATATCATCAATTCACTGAAGACCACTTTACTCGGAAAAAACTGAGGGTAGGGCAAACGGTGGGACGAGGGAAAAATCACTCGTTACTTTTTGTGTTGGTATCATGAATACCACTAAGAGTTCTACTGAATACGAATATCCACATGTTTGTCTAAATACTGATGAATTTCAAAGAGCACGTATTGTTGTGTGGTTATTGAAATCTAGAGACGTTGGCATATCTTTTCTGCAAAGTGCTTCTACCCCCTTTGGTTTGGGAAAAGTCTTGTCGCAAATACTCTCAATGGGTTCAAAATATTTAAACTTGGTGCAAAAATCGCAATCTTAGAGAGTATCAGAATATTACAATATTCCAGGATTCTCAGGAATAGGTCGTGTACACGTGAATGCCCTCGGGGGCCGGCCGGGTGGGTCGGTGAAGTTGAGTGGCTGGACCCTGCTGGACCCACGCAAACAAACCCGCCGTGTCAACTCCAACCCACCCCCTTTTCCTGCCTCCTGCCCCGTGTGGCGGCACGCGGGACCGCGCCACCAAGTTAAAAACCACTCCGAACGAGTTTGTGGGCAATTTAGTTCCCTATGTGTTCTGTCAGCGACACTTCTTCTCTGTTTGCAGCCGAGCTCCCCCTCTCCCTCTCTCCCTCTCTCTTTTCCGGCCTTCTTATCTGGCAACACTCTCTCTCTCTCTCTCTCTCTCTCCACCTACATTTTCCTCACCCGCACTTTCCCGTGCCTCTCGCTGGTTTGGTCCCTTTTTTTCGGAATCACTTCACCCGGCCTCCCTCCTTGCCCCCCACCCAACCCGTTTACCGACCTGAGTGTATGACTTACGCCGTGGAGGCAGGCGTTGGCCCCAGACTCCTAAAAAGGGAAGGGTTTTGTGTCAGTGCGGTACGGGCAGGCATGCCCAAGGCCGCTAAAATCGCGTCACGTTACCTACCACAATCGAAATTTTCGGTATCGCATTACTGTACTGATACATTTTGCAAGTGGTTAGCTCAATACTTCACCGCTACTTTCAAAAGTATCGACGACAACTTTAATAAAGAACTTGTAGTGTGCTATTGCTGCCGCAGTGTGGGCACCGTGTGTGAGCGCGCCATAACGTGCGAATGCGTGTGAATGCGTGTGAATGCGCCCCCAGCGTGGGCAACGCGAGTACGGCCTGCGCGATAGAAGTATTGGGCATTGATAGATGATTATGTGTTTTCTACTTCGTGGCGGCTAGCAAGAAGCTCGTGGACAGACCCTGCCCGCCACTGACCCGACTGACCAGTGCGTGCTATGCTCAACAACTACCTGCTCCTGGCAGGTCAAAGTTGAGGCAGTGCGCGCACAGCACGGCCACACAGGCCCTGTGGCAAGGCCGTGGTGGTTCCTCGGTAGCCAGCCCGAGCTGGCAGCCCTGACTGGTCGGTCTGGGTCAGCCGGCAGCCAGGGCTGGCAGGCCAGTTCGCTCCTTCATCATCCATCCCCATTAGGCATCCGAGTGGCCGGCGTGTCCATGCCTGGGCCCTGCCTCGGCCACGCCGCGGCCCCAGGGGGCGTCACTCGCGACCCGAACGCCGAGAAAGCAAAACAGACACTCTGCTGCACTGCCACGCCGGCAAAATAAAATTGATCACGGTGATCGTTGTGGAAGTCTACCCTTTATTCAACACTGACAACACGAGACTGACTTCATTGTGCCCAAGTCTGAAAACGTCTTTCGGTTTAGGATGGGAGTGCTACCCGCGGTCGGGTAGGCAAGCCCGCTACACTGGAGTGGATCTCAGAGAGCCGTTGCCTTCCTCTCAGGCGCTACCCCTGCTGCCACTCACCCGCCTTCTGCCTTTCCCTGCCGAGCAATACCTACGTGTAGGATGATTGGCGGGCAGGGCTTCAGGAAGCTCCGAATCCAGGTGAAATGTGACATGAACTAAATGAAGGCAGCGTGGCTCTTGGGGCACTCCCCAAGAGCTCCCGTGTTGGAATGCGTCAATTTCTCGCGCACTTCAAGCCCAAACTAAAAGGCGAAAAAAAGAAAGAAACCGGATGTGCCACTTAAAGCTTACTTGAAGGTGTGCATTCTGTACAAGTGCATTGAGGCTGCCGACAAGCGTAAGAAGCTTGTGCCTTCAGCGCTGGTTTGGTGGTGGGGCTTTCCCGAAGGCGAGGGCCTCCTGGGGCAGCACTCGTTTGCCACTCGCTGATCTGGGTTCGAACCAGGCACTGGCGGGCCGTACCGCGTGCTCCGCTGCTCCGCCAATGCGGATCGATTCGGAGCGGGGACGCTCTCGGGGACGCTGGACCGGGCGAGGCGGGCAGGCGGGCGGTTGGCCCGGGCGGAGGGTGGATCCGGGATGGTTATGACTCAGAGGCGCCAGCCAGACTGGCGCCGGGCCGCCGCGCCGCCGGGCCGCGTTCGGGGCAGCCTGGCTGGCGCAGCGGCGGGGCGCTCCGGGGCGTTGCGGGGTGTGTCAGGGCGCTCCGGGGCGTGTCGCTCCGGAGGCGGCCCGCGACGAGGCGCCGCGCCAACACACTGCATGGCGTCGGTGAAGGGAGGGAATCGGAGGCAAGCCCGAATCGCCCACACTGCCTTACTACGTCCGAAACTCGAAAGCCTTGGAAGCATCGTCGACGTCCAACACTTTGCCTGCCGATGCACGGGGGAGGCCACCCCAACGGGGTGAACAAAGTGACAGCACGTCGTGTTGGTTGCCACTGCTTCCTGGTTGTTGGTGGCTGCGCCCGTGTGTAATAAAAAGCATTCCCGGAGTCACCGTCGTCGGGAACCGCGATATTGCCCGAGAAAGCGTGGAGCGTACGGCCGTCAGGCCGCGGTGAACGCGTTCCACCTTGCGATGATGTATGTTCGTGAATCGTCGTCCACCTTGCACAGCGCGGCGCGGCACGGCGCGGCACGGCGCGGCACGGCGCGGCACGGCGCGGCACGGCGCGACACGGCTCAGCACACGGTGCGCGACACGGCGTGACATCCACTCCGCACATATTAGCTTGTCCCGCCGTAATCTGATCGGCGCGGTAAAGCCAGCCTTGTTGGGGCCTGGCCTCGGGCCTGGCGGGGCTGGCAGGCTGGCGGGCCGGGAAGGAAGCCCGGCGACGCGGCGGACGCGGCGGACAACCACCCCCTCCCGCGCTATCACTGTTTATCTGCAGTCGCGCTCATCTATCTCTGTCCCTCCCTTCGCGTGCTTCGCGTGTCGCGCCGCCTTCCCGACGACGCCTAGCTCCGGAGCCGAGCCGCCGTGCTAGTGCCGCTAGTGCTCTGGCGGCGGATTTTTATGTATTGTCGGGGAACTGCCCCTCGGGCCTCGGGCGGCGCCCCGCTCGCTACCGCCGGCCGGGGCGGGGCGGGGCGGGGCGGGGCGGGGTGCGGGACGACCCCAACCCCCTCTCCCCAATTGATACCCCTCTGTCCGCCCGTCTGTCTGTCCGTCTGTCTGTCCGTCCGTCCGGGGCGTTGTTTGCCCTGCAAAGTGGCGGTGCAGGGATTCGCGAGACGGATGCCGTCGCCGCACTCGCACGACGCGCTGCTGCAGCACGGCCAGACGACCCCCCTCCCTCCCCCTCTCTCTCTCCCTCCCCAATCTCTCTCTCTCACGCACTTTCACTCTCTCTCTCTCTCTCTCTCTCTCTCTCTCTTCGAAGGAGCGCGCGGTGGCGCCGGAGGCCGTCGTGAAATGTATTCGGGATTCTTACGCCGTTTTTAGAGGAAACCTTGTTCGCGGTTTGTAAACGCGTCAACACGTTTCAAACTGGGCCGAGTGGCACAAGGCACTATCTGGCCCCCGCCCTCAGGAGTTGCCTTGTCGACAACAAGGCTGAGGATGTTGCCGAGCCCGTCGGTGCATCGCGGCAGTTTTTGCATGTGGCCACACTGCCGGCGG